AACGAACCCCTCTAACCGGCGGCCATTCGTTCTCAGTGGCCCAGCCACGGGAGCTCTGTCCATCCGGTCCTGGCCCTCGCTGGGCACTGAAGGAGCAAGCAAATCCAGTGTACCCCCTGCACTGCAAAGGAGGACTAACTGGTGGCTGCAATTACAAGGTAGGATTTACTACCTGGAACAGGTCTGGGCAATCCATATGGAGGCTTCCCCTTGCGTTCTTCGTGACGTCCTCCCCAGTTTGACCGAGGAAACACAAAGAATGGAGAAGAGGTGGACCTTTTTAAGCTATCATGCGACATGTTTCCTGCGTCTGGGGGAGGAGATTCCATCTCATGATGCTGTCCTGGAAGACGTTTATGGGAAAACCCCACACCGGACCGCATCAAAAACGCACATGACCGTGTTTGCAGAAATGCATCCAGATCTGGGCTGGAGATGGTTTGAACAAGCCCTGAAAGCCCTGGATGGGGGCGGTGTAAAGCTATAAATATCTGTATAGGGGTGTTTATTAATTTCTAGAAGAGGGAAGGGGGTGTCAGATGAGGGTCCTTAAGAGCAAAATGCAGTTCTTTAACCACTTGCTGCCTGGAGCAATTTCTTACTATTTGCACACACAAGTAGACAACTATAAAACAATTTAAAAAAGACACTAAACAGGCCCAAATAGCTAAAAACCATAGAACCGGGAGCAGCTTGCAGCTCAAAGAGCTTTTAAAAAGGACCTTATGCCTCCAGCTGGCATTAGATAAGGCTTTAACATCTACCTTAACTTGAGAATGTATAAATGTATAAAACAGAGGACCAGGTGAAAGCCTTGCAAATCTGAGAAACAATTGGCTAATATTTAAAAGCCCAAGAACCACTCACAGATCTAGTCAAGTATGCTTTGATAGGAAAGGGAGGAACTTTATCCTTACGGCTATAAGCTTGAATAATAATGTGTCTAAGCCAGAAAAATGGTGGCATGAGAAGTTGGTTCCCCTTTACCGCGACCATCAGGTATTACAAAAAGATAGTCAGTCTTTAAATAGAAGCAGTGGCTGAGAGGTAAACCCACAAAAGCAACAAACTACATTAGGCAGCAAAAGAAAAATTCCCTTTGGTGCACTGGAGCGAGATGGAAGAACAATGTCCTTATTGAGGTGAAACGCTGAAACCACCTCAGAAAGAAGGCTTTATGACTCAGGTCCAACTAATCCAGACCGGGCCAGAATAGAAAGGGTTTTTTGCAAGATAAGGCCACCAGATCAGTAACATGTCTCACAGAAGTGATACAAACAAGGACTGCAACGTTGTGAGTAAGAGCAGGCATGGTAATATCTAGGTATGCACCGAAATATCGGCCGAAAATTGCACTTTTGGCTAAATGCCGAAAGTGGAATTTGTCTGCCGATACAGCAGCGCATCCCTGCTTTCTTTCTCTCCTACCCGCTGGGACACCGAGCAGCGCCCAACGGGGAGGAAAGTGTGACAGCCGGCCAAGCGACCGGCGTCTCTCCTCCCACACCACTCAGCCTCCTGTCACAGTCCGGCAGAGCGGTGTGTGGGCGGAGACAGCCCTCACTGTCACAGGAGGCTGAGCTCTCCTCCATGCACCGCTCGCTCAGCCTCCTTTGACAGCATGTCAGGAAGGAGAGCGAGTACAAACACTCAGCGATCACTGAGTGCTTGTTCATAATTGAGTACATGGTATGTTTACTGTATCCTCAATTATGAATGAATGGGAAGTGATCTCCATCACCTCCTGTTCATTCATGATTGTGGTTATAGTAAACACACAATGTCCTCATGTTATCAATGAACAGGAACACTCAGAGGATTCCTGTTCATTGATAACTGGGGCTGCAGAAAAAGAGATAGAGGACTCTGTGTTCTCAATTTGAAATAAAAAACATTTTCGGTTTTGGCCTGACAATTTTTTTAATTTCGGTTTTGAAATTTCCATTTCGGTGCACTTCTAGTAATATCCCTAATATGTGCTTTTTGAAGAGCTAATAGAACCAGATTTAAATCTCACAAGAGGAGGCAGAGGAGAGACACCCTGTACAAAAGTCTTAACCAATGAAGGGGAGACTAGCGGCCTTTGGAATACGATTGCAAGGGCCAAAATTTGTCCCTTGATGGTACTCAGGGCCATATGCTGATCCAGGCTGGATTGCAAAAAGGTAAGGATTCTTTCCATGAAGTATTTTCTGGGTTGAAAACTTCTTTTCTGGAGGCCTTGCATCCATCACCTGTGACACAGGTCCTGGAATACACAGTGTGCAGTGACAATTTTCCCTGGGTCCAATCACTGCTGGCTGAGGTAGTCTGCCTGCCAATTGTCCAGGCCTACAATGTGAACAGCAGACAAGGCTGAAATATGAGGTTATGCCTAATCTAGTATAATTTACTACCTCTCCTGTGGTGTTGTCTGACTAAATACAGAAATATGACCTTCCAATGACAGAATGTTGCATTGTAGGGGTCTGGAGTGAAAATTGGCAAAATGAGATCTAAATAGGGAGTCCAACTGTCTCAGTAAAATCCCTAAAAAGGTAGAGATGCCATCAACTTGTGCTGTGACGTGACTGTTAAGATGGAAAACTGGTAGGTCTACAGACAGAAGGGACCATTTATCAATAAATTCCCTTTCAAAAGAGAAAAACACATTGTCAAGAGGAAACCTTGATTGCGTGAAATGTTTTCAGTCCTCAAGGAGGAATGTTTTAAGCACTGAATTAATGGGGAAGGATTTGTAGCATCATGAGCTCCAAAAGAATCTATACCTGGCACAAAATGTTGATGCCTTTAGATGCATAGTACAGCATATAATCAGACTGGAAACAATAGATTGTATATTTGAGTAATATTGAACCTGCTTAAATCTCAACAGACTCATTAGAAATGGGTTGTAAAAGCTCTAAATACAAATCAAATAGAGAACAAAACAGGGGGACCACTGCTGACAGTAAAGTGCAATAAGGCATTTAATGTATAAAGTTCAATAGAATGAAATAGCAACCGTGTTTAGGGGTCCACAATACCATCGGGGCTAAAATTAAAATGTGGAAATATATAGCAAAATCAATGCTAAAATATTACATATAAATTCATTTTGTTGAAAAATCTATATATACATATTAAAATGTATATTAAAATATAATAAAATAAAAAGCAAATTTATCAAAAGTGATATTATATGTAAACAGCAGGCTGTGCACTAAAAGCACTAAAAAACATTAATGATATGTCTGATGATCATATAGGAAATTACATAAAACCTTCTTCATAAAATATGATCTATAATATGTAAAGTATAGGCTCGAAAACATAGTACAATACATGCCATTTCATTCTATTGATCAATAAAATACCCTATTGGGCTCTACTATAGCATATAAAATACCCTATTGGGCCCCTGTTCGTTCTCTATTTGGTTCCACTTGAGCCTCCAATTCTAGTCCTTTGTTTTGTGTGGTAGCCGCTCCACCACAAACATTTGACACTCTAAAGAAGAGAAATATTTACAGTATCTAGCTTCTCTCACAAATCCACTGAATATGAAACAGAGATGGTGACAGAGGCCTTAGGCACTCTGGGAGATGAAAGGTTCAGTAAGGTCAGGGGTAGTCTCTGCCATGGAAAGCGGTGAAGTGTAATAAGAGCTTCTACGAGCAGATTGCCCAAATAACTGTGCACAGACTGACACAACATCAAAAGTTGATACAGGTCTTAGGCAGAGGCAGTGAAGGTATAGAAGCTGGCTGCTGATATGGACCATATAGAAAAAGGGGTCCCTGGATCCAAGTTATACGCATCTGATTCTTCTTGGGATACTACGGAATCTTCTCCAGAAACATTAGGGCAGTAAGGGATAAGGCCATTCATTGCAACAGGTCTCTGCTCTAAGCATCTGGGCCTCATTGCTCACCAATAAGCAGTGCAACATGCCTTTTAACAAAGAGAGGCAAGGCCTCACTTACTTACATATCCAAGCAGTTGATACTGAAGATGGTCTTAGGAAGCTGGAGGTGATCAGGTCACTGTATGTGGACAGTGGAACAAAACTGGACATTAAGTAATTTGTTCACTGATCTCCTACATTATCTATGGGACCGGGAGTGACGCGGATTGCATCACTTCCGGTCCCTGAACTATCATTGCTCGGCTACTGAAGCCGAGCAATAAGCTATTGAAGTGCAATCTGCACTTTAATAGCTTAAAGTGGAAAGGTAATACTAGGGGTTGTTTGGACCCCCAGTATCACCTTAAAGAGTACCTGTCACTGCCAATGTGCTATTACATGGGAGGCTTGTAAACCCCCCTATGGGATAGCAATTAAAGTTTAAAAAAAATAAGTTTTAAAAAATAATTTAGAATAGAAAAAAATAATTTTGAAGTCCTCCACCCCGCGAGCGCACATTCACGCAAACATGCGCTGGGCGTGCCTATGTACAAAAACATTGAACGTGTGTAATGTTGAGTATCGCCGCCCAAGCCAGAGTGAGAGTAATAATTTGAAGGCCAATATTTATGTGTATCTCTAAACTGATGACCTGTAGGGGCTTTTAAAGCATCGTCTATGGACTTTTTAGGGTACTGAATTTTGTCACCGTTTCATGGATGCACACAGTTTTTAACCTAGGCATGTTTTATTGTGTTTTCAGACACTAAAATGAACTTGGGTGCATTTTTCACTAAATTTTGGGGTTTGATAAAGAGTTGTGCCAACATCTTGCAACATAAGAATTTGCAACTGCCACAATTTTTTTCTAAGGGTGTTGGCTTTCAGAAAATATATAATGTTTTGGGGGTTTGAAGTAATTCGCAGGCCGAAAATGTGGATTATATCATGTGTGCAAAAAAAAAGGCCTTGGCAGCGGAAGGGTTTAATAAATTTTCGGTAGATTCACTTTCCGGATCTGCACATCTGCAGTGACCACGTGCCATGTTCTGTGACAGATTGTTATATTTTATATTATTGTTATAGAGTTATGGACTGATTTTGTGGTACTTACTCTGTATTATATTTCGGTATGACACGGTTGCTGGTGAGTCTGGAATCTCTGTGAAAAAGGACTTGCCAATATCACAGCTCTTTCCTTAAGAAAAAAAGTCAAAGAAAACAAAAAACACAAATTAATATTTTCATTACCAGCAAAAGCTGGTTAAAACAGTGAATACATTACTATTAAGCCATACAGAGGGGTATTTATCAACACTTACCATTTATCAACACTGCAGCAGACAAAAACTGACTGGAGCAGCTGTACATGGCAACCAAGCAGCTTCTCTTTTTCATTTTCAAATCTTAACTGAACAAACTGAAGAAAGAAGCTGATTGGTTGTCATGCACAGCTGCTCCGGTTTTTGTCTGCTCCAATCTTGATAAATTCCCCTCACAGTATGTATTGCATGCCCAAAACGGAACACATTAGCTGATGCCCATAGACAAAAGTTGACAGGGCTGAGCCATATTTTAAAAGCTTGGTTGTGGTACTAAAACAACTAGTAATGATTTGCTAAGAGTAGAGATTATGTGACGTTTATCAGAGGCAGACATTTAACTACTCTTTAGCAGCTGATAAATAATTTAATCATGAAGAGTAGTTGTGTTAAAACCCCTGCTATGTTATTTTCCTGCTGTCTGTGTACCATTTCCCTTCACTTCCTGTCTCAGAAATGCAACAAGAAATTTAGGAAAATCTCCAAAATAGAGGGAATTCTCCTCTCAGACAGTTATCGCCATTGGAAGATTAACCCTTTCATTTTGTTCTGGATGCAACTTTAAAAGTCTGGATTTCACTTCTTTCTCAAGGACAATGGTCACCAATACAATAAGAGTGATAAATCTCCCTTATAGGGACAGACAGCAATAAAAACTTTATAAAGCGTCTAACCCTTCCTCCACTCTATATAGAAAAAAAAATGTTTTACCTAGAGATACACATTAATCGGTAGTGATCTAAGTAATTTGACTACTAAACGTGTAAATGTGTGCTATGTAAACATGTGACCCCTAAATTCAGTACTTTAAGTTAGTCAAGTTGAAAGTTTGTAATGGGACATTAGTGGGGAGATCACTGAGCTTCAATTCCCAGATTTACACACCTGTACAGTTGATGTAAATAAAAAAAAAAAACAGAACAAAAATTG